CACATCATATAAAATTGTTTATCCTCTTGTTCTCTAATTTCAAATGTCAATTTACTCATTTCAGCAGAGTCCATGATTTTCTTCATAATTTCGTCCTGCATAGGTATTTTTTCATGTTTCCAGTTCTTAGCAAATACAATTCTAGCGACTGTTAAAACATTGACAATCAAATATTTCAATTCTTTACAATATATTTCCAGTATAATTCCCAATAAAAATATCTCAGGTTTAAAGTCTATGTGCTGTTTTGTCATTTTTTCCAACCATGTGTGGATTGTAGTTCAATATCTTTTTGCATCCGAGCATGTCCACCACATGTGGTAATATGAACCAGGTATCTGATGACATTTCCAATATTTATCGGATTTATTCTTGAACATCCTCGCAATTCTCATCTGGGTAAGTGCCACCTGTAAAACATCTTATATAAATTTTCTTTATATGCAGTTGACATTGTCATTTTATAATTTTGAGACCACAATTTTTGCCATTTATCTAAATCAATCCCATATCCGAATTTTTCCCCCACGCAATCATTGTTTCTTTTACTTGTTCTTCCTCTAATTTAAACTCTCGCAAATGTCCATAAAGTTTTTTGATTACTTTTTTATCAGTACCTGTCAAAATTTTATCTAAACCAGTCAACTTATCATAGATACCTTCTGTTTTAACATCTTTATCAAATCTAGATTGTATTTGCAAATATGAAAACCAATTCATTTTTACACCTTGTTCTTCCAACGCTTGCATAGATTTAAGTTCACCCTTTTCATTCAATATCTCACCGTATGTAACTGTTTGTTCCTTTTTATATATTATTGGATAGGAAAAAACTTCAATAGTACGTAGATAACCATCGTGGAATTTTTAAATAATATTGCTTTTTTATCTTCTTCCAGTTTAGAAACAATGCTTCTCGAATATAATCTCTTCTAAAATACCCCTGCGTTTTAGTTCCCTTATACCAGAGGAAGGCATGCCACCCTAACCGCAAGTCATGTCCTTCTAAATTCAAAAGTCTAGTATTCCTTAGTGTTATCCACTCCTTTACCCACATCAGACTCGTCGCTTGGTAGTATAATTCCCAATTGGGCAAAGCAAATCCTCCTCTTATTCTTCTGCATCTTGTAGCAATTTAAGTTTTATTCTGTACTGTATTTTAGCACTATTTTGTTTAAATCTTCAAAAAATTCTTTCCCTAATCTGATTGGAATTGTCTGGAATAAGTATAAGATTCTAGGCTATACATTCATCTTAATTGTAGATATTCTCCCAATCCGTGATAATTGTAAATTTTCCCATTTTATCAAGTCTGTCGCAATCTGTTGTTTAAATTTGAGATAATTGTCCTCCTTAAGTGTGCTACATCTTGGTGTTATATGTATCCCTAAATACTTAACCTTTTTTGTGACCTGGATCCCCAAAACTTCTTCCAATTCTTTCTTTTGTATTACTGACATGTTCTTTGCTAAAATCTTTGTTTTATCTTTATTTATTTTCAAACCTGCTACTTTCTCATACTCTTCTATCTTTTCTATCAGTTTAGGTGCTGACTCCAATGGATCCTCTGATATAAATACCAGGTCTTTTTTCCACTTCTAACTATTGTCTCTAAATCTTTCTTTTATATTAATTCGTTGTTTCTTTGCTTGTTTATCATTGTCTATCATCCTTTGGCTTTTTCCCTTAATCCTTCCTCCATTTCCCATCATTTTCTTATATTTTCTCTCCCATTTCTCAAAGTTTCCCCCCTCCCTCTTGGATCTCCACTGTGTATCTCCGTAACCATTTCATTTATCAGGATTCCAGTCTCAAAATCCCCCCTCTTATTTATTATATCCATCATTAATGTCTCATATTTAGCTTCTTTTTTCTTCTTGTGTTATTTGTTGTTCCTTTTCATCCATTTCACTTTCACTTTCTTCTAACTCCTCCCCCATCTTTGTCCCTTCTTCTTCTTCTTCTTCTTCTTCTTCTTCTTCTTCTTCTTCTTCTTCTTCTTCTTCTTCTTCTTCTTCTTCTTCTTCTTCTTCTTCTTCTTCTTCTTCTTCTTCTTCTTCTTCTTCTTCTTCTTCT